ATAGATTCATACTTGAAATTCAAGTCCATATATAACGGGAGTATCGTTATCCATTTCTGAAAGTATTTTCACCATACAAAGTATATTACACTTTATCAAGAAATGCGTGTTAATTTTCCAGACAGATAGAGCAATAGTAATCTTTGCAGATGGTAAACATTGTGTCTAATATCTATGAAGATAGCTAGATAAGAATTTAAATTTCATTTCATATTTTTACTAATGTCTAGACATCCAGATCCACACGATTCAGTTAAAAAAATCATTGTTCCAAGTAAAAAAATAATTCTCCAAGAATGTAGACATCAATGTAGTCGCAGTTCTGTGATAGCGGATAATTAAACATTTAATTAAAAGTAAAAACACTTAGACGTCAAGGATATCACGATATGTCGTAAACTGACATGACATCGATTTCAATATAATGCCGTGTTCACCGGCCTTGTTCAAACGCAAAATGCGAGAAGACTGTCCTATATCTCTTTCTACTAATGTAGGTAAAACTTTAATCTCATAATCAGTTATTTTTTATTCTTTTCTAATTTTTAAAACTAGAAGAAGATAAAAAGTAAGTTAAAGCATGATTAAAGTTAATCTATTAGTAAAAACGAGCACTAGACTGTGTGTTCTATTCGAGTCCAGTGACAAAGAACAGAATTTATTTTTTTATTGCTGCACTGGAACTTTAATTTTTTTCTTCTTACTTTTTGCCAACATTAAACATATATTTATTTCACTTTACAAAGAGCATATACTAAATGTTCGGGTTAAAAAATAGATTTGAAGGACTGCGATCAGAAAATTCATCCAATGTATATCCTATTCTTGAAATATCGCACACGAAAATAACAATTCCGTATCAATCGACCAATCACAATCGAGAAACTGTCATTTTCATATGCGAAAATTATTCATATATGTGCTCAAGAATAGGACTCCAGGGTTGCGTTCTAAAATTTAACTCTGTCAACTCGAGTATCATTTTATCCTTGTTGGTAACCGAATGTTGAATAAAGATAAAAGATACTCGAAGTTGGCAGAGTTAAGTTTTGAAATGCATTTCAGGAGACATTAATTTTCAATTTTGACCACAATTTAGATTTATTTTTATGAGCATTGAGCAATTGTATCTTTATCTTTGTTCAAATTTGATGAACAACAAAGATAAAATGACCAGGGATCGATTGTGTATTTCGAAATGAGATGAAATTCATTAAAATTTTCATAATTTAATTAATCAATACCTAGTAATCTTTGTTCACTTTTGTAATTTTCGAGTATGGTCAACGTGATGTTGCAAATACTTTGAAACATTTTTTAATTGGTCAGTTTGTCAAAATTCTTTCTTCTATTGGTTCATCAAACGTTGGAATTTCACCATTTCAATAAGGACAAAGGAATTTTGGCTCTTTTCTGATTGGTCAAACTTCAATTTTTCAATCTTCAATCTCATTCTTGCATAGTCTGATTCCGGCCTCAAAATACTTTTACATGTCAGCATCAAGCATCAAGTATCACGAACTTGTTATTCATCAATTTTGATCATATAACCTGTTTTTAGCGAAGAGTTAGCTGTCACGATGTTCAACGCTTGACGCTCCCATAGGCCGGTATTCATCGAGTCTTATTTCAAGACTGTCTTAAGTAATGTCTTAAAACGCTAATGCAGCCTTCTGATTGGTTCGTGACTTCTTAAGACCGTACTTAAGACGGTCTTGAATATAAGATCTGTTTATGAATATCGGCCATAATACTTTTAGACGAACCGGACTTCAGACGCATGCGCGTCCAATGTAGCTTCAGTAATGTACCGGTCACTAGTAAATGGGAGATCATTGGTCGCCTATGTAAAATTTTTTCAAAAATGTTGAAAATTTTAATATATTTTACATATTTCACATATGCATACATATAGAAATATATTAATTACATTTATATATATGTATACGTATGTAAAATATGTAAAATATATTAAAATTTTCAACATTTTCAATCCTAAGCGACTAATGATCTCCTATTTACTAGTGACCGGTACATTACTGTGTTACATTGGACACGCATGCGTCTGAAATCCGGTCCATCTAACTACACTGGCCAAACGGACCAAACAAACCGGCTAAATCTCATAATCTTCCAACGGTCGTCGTCGAAGCTGATCGAAGCGCTGTCGCGGCGGTTAACTCGAGACGAGGGGGGGGAATCGCGCATACACGTAGTCACGTATACGTTCCCGGTTCCCCCTCCAGGATTCCCCGCTCCAGTCCATCGCGAGTCGCGACGAGCGCTGTCGTTTCTTCGTTGGCTGTATAAGCGTTCGGGCGATCGTGGATCGACGAGAACGGAGCAAACGGAGTCGGGGAGTGGAGGCAGAGTCAGCCAAATCGCGGGACTTGTGAGGTCGAGCATTGTCGAGGCGAGTAACGAGCGGTGTATTGAGCGACGAATTCCGTCATATCATCCGCTTATTTGCCGTTCATCTCGGTTCGCGCGAGAATACTGTCGGCGTTTTGCGAGATCCTTCTTCGGTGAAGTCTTCGCGTACACAAGTGCGATCGAAGAAACCCGCGGAGATGCCGGATACGCACTGAACACGCGTACACCGATGGTTGTGACCATCGCCACAGTCGCAATCGTAATCGCAGCCGATTCCTGAGGCACGCCGCCGTTTTTCCCCGGAGATCGTCGGCCGGGAAATCCCCGGACGCGAATGCGCGTTCCTCCTCGCGGTCGTGCCGTCCTCGCGCGAGGATCGCACACGTCTTCCCTCTTCCTCCCGAAAGCGCCGCTATGCTGACGCTGCAGCATCAAACGTGAGTAACCTGTCGTCTAGAACCGAGGCCAACCGAGGCACCTTGCTTTCAACACGCATGTTATTTACTGTCCATGTTGCATGTGTCGCAATCTCACCCGCGTGTGTCCACGCACGCGTTTTTGGAGAACGGCACTTTTCAAGCATTCGCCGCTTGTCTTGTTTCTCTTTTTCTCTCTTTCTTTCTTTCTCTCTCTCTCTCTCTCTCTCTCTCTCTCTCTCTTTCTTTCTCTTTCTCTCTCGTCTTTCTCTCCGTCTCTCTTTTTTTTCTGGAGCGAAATATCGTTTAGTTAGCGGCCGCTCCACTTTTTGTCCGCCTTTTGCGATATCGCCGATACGCTCATCTTAAACCTCACGACTCTGTCCGCTTTTGTGGTGCCTGATAATTTGCGATACAGTTGGTTTGCGATACGGTGCGATATTTTTGTCCGTCAAACGATCAGCTGTTGCTGTTGACGAATATTGATTCGCCTTCGCCGCGCGAGATCTGAATTAATCATTGAGCTTTGCGGTAGATACGTCGGAGATGCGGATTCTACTCCGAATTGTTCAAAAGAGAAATCGGCCGTTAGCTTTTTGAATTAAAGAACATATGTGATACGTGTCTAAAAAAATATGCGTTATAAAAGCAGAAAGCCTGTTACCGCTGCAAAAAAAAAACATTTCTGACACATAACACCCAGACGAAGCTACGTAAATTTAGTTAGCGGATTTTTATCTTCGATTTTTTTTCTACGTGGAAACCGGACGGCGCGGTTTTGAAATGGCAATGCACATTTATCAAGTGCACACTGCTATCAATTGCTTATAATTGAATGGTATATTTAATATACGTCAATATAAAATGCCGTATCGATCATCGCGATTTAATTTCGGCGCTTGTAACGTCTGTGCACGTTACTTTACATGCGTGACGGGAAACACGCATAAATTACGGTGACATGTATACTAGCTTGAAGGAAAGCATGGAATACCATCATTTTAAACACTCGTTTTAAGAGAATTTTAATGCAATACATGAAAAGAAGGAAGAAATTTTACTGAAATATCTAAACATTTAGCTGAATACAGATCTGAAAATAATTTTGTTGAGCAATTAATAATTATCTAAGACATTCAAATGATTTCTCGAATGTCAAATCTTTGCATCATTGAGCATCATGTTTCAGGATCCTATATAATTATTTTGATGGTCCAACAAAATTATTTTCAGATCTGTATTTACCTTTAGATATTTCAGCAAAATCATTTCTTCCGTGAACTACAATATATGAACTATAATTATACGTTACATTATACTATAATTTTTATTTAATACAGTACGATATTTTACTTTAATCGCTTATAATATAA